AAAAAAAAAAAAAAAATACGAAAAAAAAACGCGCGAGATTTCGCTTACGCATCGTATCTTATCTCTCATCGGTATCGATATCGCGTATAGCACCGCGGCCTTCTCCCGTTTCGCCCACGCCGCCGGTCGACTACTTTCACACCTTTTCAGCCACGCGACGGACAACCGTATTTACGGAACGCGTTGGCGATATCAAAAACGTTTTTTTTTTTTTTTTTTTTTTTTTTTTATTAATTTCGCACACGTGAACGATACAACTGGAAAAAGAAAAAAACGTCGAGTTACCGCAACAATAAAACGAACCACAACACACCAAGTGAAATTACTATTTGGACGGTGTACGAAACGCGGATCCGGTTGACAATAAATGGGCACAAGCTTCGAACTTATCGTACGGACTGTTTTTTTCGTTACCCTCTTTCGAGAATTCGCGCGCAAGTCTGTATATTTAGTCGACGAAATATTTAAATATTCGTGCTTTTCATTTCAATACTTTTCGATTAACCGAGACCCGGATCATGCCGGTCGTTTTTAAATACACGCGCGTACACGTTCAAGCGCGATGCGATTAAATGCAAATTTCCCACTCAAACCGAATCGAGTGCCCGTGTTATGCGAGTTTTAGAGTAAGAGAGCAAGCGAGTAAGAGAGTCGATATTGAGGATGGAAGCGGCCGCTCTTATTTCAAAAAAAAAAAAAAAAACAGAAAAAACGGCGTCGAAAATCGAATCGGATTCCCTCCCGCCCCCTCAAAGCGCCGTGAACCGGACAACTTGAGCGCTCGGGGAAATCGCGCCGCGCGCGAAAACCGCGTCAAGTCTACCGGTGAGAAACGTGTGTCCGCGGACGCGCGCGCTTTGTAAAACCAACTGCCGCCGCGCTCGGGGACGCCGGGGGAAATTGGCCGTCGCCCGGGACTCTCGACGAGATCCGCGCGGGATTTCCATGGCGTTGGACGGTAATGCCGCCGCCGCCGCCGTTATCTCGTCCGTCCGGCGATATCCGACCGCAGCCGTTAAAATCGGCCGCGAAGGACGGCCGAGCGTGCGGGTTAACGGCGCACGTTGTTTTCTTTCGTTTCTCGTTTTTTGTTTTTTTTTTCTTTTATAATCGACACACATCTCGGCTGTTCAACGCGCGGATCGCCGGCCCGGTCGCCGAAAGGCCGTCGCGCGACTCTCGGAGATGCCGCCACCTCTATCCCGCACAGTCGTCAGACAGCGAACGGGAAATCGCGTTACGGTTTGACCGGCGCGTCGTGGCACACGCGAGTGAACCTCGGAACGGTTTTTCGTTTCTCGGGTTTCGGTCACCGATCAGACGCGACGGGCGAAACTGGCGGCCGTGCGCGCGGAATCGAACGCGCGTGACAGGGAAACGGCGAGCGAAAACCCGGGTGCCGGGCGCGGAACGTTCGCCGGAGAAATGCGCGCGCCCGCGCCAAACACAATAACGGTTTGATGCGCGTGTAGGTCCGGTTCCGGACCGCGGGGTCGGCGTCGCGGTTTTTTCGCCACGTTTCCTCGGGGGGGGTTTGTTGTTTATTTATGCGCGTAGACGGTCGCGTTTTTACCGGTTATCTTATTATATCCGGATCGATGGGAATTAATTTATTGAGACGAAAAAAAAAAAAAAAACCGACAGGGCGGCGCGCGCACAAAGAAAACGAGAGCGCGCGCTACTATCGCGCGCTGAAACAGTCATTATTGCGTGTAAACATTACGTACGATAATAATGCGCGGGCGATTTTTTCGATTATTTTTTTCTTTTCTTTTTTTCTGATGGAATTTTATCCGAAAATCCCGACTGGTTATAACATTGTTATTATGTTTAATAAGGCCGGTCCCGATATTCCGAACTTTCCGGTTTTCGTTCCGGTTTTTTTTTTTTTTTTGTCGGACCGTCAGCGTTTCCGCCGAATGTATTTCTACGCATATTATCGAGACCGTGTTTGAGAACCCCTAGTCTGAATACGATATTCGGGATAAACCGTTTGGTATTGGCACGGAGACGGATTCCAGTTTACACTGTTTATACGGTTTTACACGTGGTAATTCCTAACCGTCATAAATAAATAAAAATCTATTACAAGAACATCATTTTCCAAAAAAAAAAAAAAAAAAAAAAAAAGGCACGCGACAATCATTCAAAATAATGCCTACACGTGTAACATTCAATTCAATTCGAATTTTTTTTTTGAACGTTATCCGAAAACGGGGCCAATGCGATCCGCGTTCTCGTGGAGGCGCCCCCCCCCCTCCCCGAGCGGTTTTAAACGGATCTCAGACGAGAATATTTCAAACGAGCATTGTGTAAACGACCAACCAATAGTCGCACGATAGTCAAACGTCTCTCTCCCGGTAAACTGTATTTGCGCACCGCTACTGCCCGACGCGCGAATCGGCGGCGGCGGTCGATAACACACCGGCATCGTACGACGACCGGTTGCACTGTAGACTGCTGGACTGGGGGGACGGGATGATCATCTCGAAACCCCGTCCCGATAATGCGGGCGGACGCGAATCCGGCGGAAACGGCCGACGCCCGTTCCTGTTACCGGTCGACAAACGGCGACGGACAATAACACCGCCGCGGAGGACACGTGGCGATCGCGTACGTTATTTACACGGCCGTTTTCGTCGGTTCCGCGTCACGTCCGGATGTACCGGAATAACGGTCACCGCCGCCGTCTGCCGGTCGGTAAGCAGTTCCCGGTGTCGCCGGTTTCCGAGTCTGACACGCCGTTGGCCCGAGCGAGGGCGCCGGCCTCATCGTCGCGGTCGTTCGTTTTTTTTTAACGCGATTTCGGAGCCCCCGCGCAAAAGGTAGAAAAACGCGAAAAGTCTACGACGACGAATACACGTTTTGAGCCACTTTTGCGTTCGTTCTCATTCATTCATTACCGTACGATTGATCGCGCGTTATTGATACGGGCACACCGTTTATACTGGCCGGCGGCTTTCCGCGGACAATTTGTCCGAACCGCGCATTCGGCTCTCGGACAAATCGCCCGCAAACACAAATAATCCGTTCGCTGCAATAATAATTCATAACAGATAAATAACGAACACGCGCAGCTAACGTCGCAGTGCCTGGTCCACCGTGAATAACGCACTATTTTTTTTAATACGTACTACAGCCGAAATATCCGTCACTGCCGGGTTTAAGAGTAAAACCATTTTTTTTTTTTAAAGTTAAACGAATTAAGGCGTTCTTCATATATGCGCATACGCATAAACGATTAAATAAAACGATAGTATATCCTTATAAGCTGCGCGTTCGCCGTCTGTCTACACTGTCAGTTAGTATATGTTATTTGTGTTTTCGATTTTCGAAACATCCAACTCGGGAAATTGCGACTTATAGCTGACCGAGATAAATACGGGTCGGGGCGAATACAACCCTACTCTGTCCCGACGTTTGGCCCCGACGTTTGTTTATTGCCACGGAAAATGCTATTCACATCGGAGACTGACGTCTTGTAAATGAAAATGAGGACGCGTAGAATACGACGGGGTCGAATCAATTCCATAGGTAATAAAATGCGTTTGGCCGGTTCGTTGCGCCGTTATACGATTCTGTGCCCAGAGAATTTTCGTACATAATTCGTGCGATAAATCTCGCGCCGGCCTGCGTTTAAATTTCTGAACAGTTAACGCCAGTACCTCGTTTCACCACCGCGCCGTCGTTTAAATACCTCAAAAGTTAGGTTCTGAAAAAAACCTTAACAAAGTAGGTAGCGTCATACCTAAAGTTCTTATATTAATCGTCCGACGCGATCCGACCAACCACAACCGCACAACAACCTTTTATGATGGTTAATTTGAGCTGATTGTATGCCGTTCTATTCTAAAAAAAAAAAAAAAAACCAGGCGTTTTTCAAAACGCTCTGGTTCATTTTATAATACGCGGCGTTTCAAATGCATTCGTCCGATTATTTCGAAAATGTATAATTTTATTGAAAACGAATTCCGTACGGACGGAATGAAGCGAATGAAATATTCGCAAAACAATCACGTTTTATTAAAGTTTAGCCACGACTTGCAAATGTCTCCGCCACGACCACCCAGCCGCCCGGCGTACACGTCTCCGCACGGTATTCGGATTCTTCCCGAACGTTGCCGATATCGTTACTTGTGTCGCGGCACGTTCAGAGCGTCTGTAATCCCGGTTTCGGGCCCTTCCGCGTCTGCCCGGGGGAGAACAGTCGGTACGCGGACTTTATCTGTTACGCGGCCCCCTCAACGGCAGGTCGCGCGCCGTGAGCTCCGCGGAACTCGATGGCCGCGGACGGACCCGTTCGGCCAATCGTCACGGCCATCCCGAAACCAACCGACTGACTTTTAGACGGTTCGCCGGCCCGTTACGGAGTTTA